AAAAAAAAAAAAGAAGAAGAAATGAAATCCCCTCCTATTCTCCCATCAACCTATGATAGTTGTTGGGAAAACCTGGCTTGAATCTGCGTCTCTATGCGTGTGCGTGTGAGGAGTTGTCTGCCTCATACAATATTAATTAACTGGATGTACCTTCATCCCTCTCTCATTTCTGCTCTCTGTTTTCCTCCGGTGCTTCCTATCAGGGGCATCTAAATTGCTAACGGGGTGAGGGCCCGAGGGATCATATCAGTTTGGTGTCTTTCTCTTTCTTTCTCAGGGGTTTGGAGAGGAGTCCTAGAGAGTCTGGCTGTGCAGTGAAAGTCAATAAGACACAGGCATTGTTTTCAAGATAGTTTTAAAATTTCCTTCATCTTGGGCCTGAGATTTGAGGTTTAGTCTTGACTACTAAAACTAACATTAGTATGTGTATTTCTTTGTAAAAGCCAGATGGAAACAAGTGAAATCCAGGAATGAATCTGTTTCTCCTTAAATATCCAAATAAGTTCTGGATTAATTACTTTACTGTACATTTATAAGATTCAGGAGGATATATTGGCAGATATGGAATTAATTCATAGGTAGTTTATGTAGTGTATAATCACCTGAAAACAGTAGTGTTTTCGTTACCTTAGAATAAAGGCATACATATTTACCATTGCAAATCTGAGGCAATTATTATTGTCTGACTTAACTTACATTATTTTACTACCTGTAGTACTGCTAGAGAATCTCTAATGTCCCATGTCATATTAATATTTTAAGGCTGGGTTATGGTTGAAATGAACTAGTTCTTACAAACATGACACATTTCAAACGACCACACTCGAGGTAAAAAGCCTGTCATAGAGATGGGTGAGATGTGATCATTGTTCAAATATGGGGGTAAAGGCGGCGCCTTGGACAGTCTTTCCTGGTGGGAATTCATAGTGTTGCACATATTTGAGCACAATAAAAGTCACAGAACCAATAGTTGTGTGAACAAGAAATAAGACGAAATAAAGAGGTTAAACCCAATTGTCCTGCTTACTTTCTGACTTCAGAAAGGTGTGGAAGGAGGAGTGTTAAGCACTGTTCAACCATCTGAGAAGCACTTTGATTGGAGCATACTGTTGCTTTAAGGTGTGGTCACATTAAATGGTCAATGGCTACATTTATATAGCGATTTACAAGGTTTTTGCTGTAGACACACACTGATGGCAGTGAGCCTGACCATCAAGAGCAAGTTGGGGTTCAGTGTCTCATCCAAGGACATTCTGACATGTCAACAGGAGGAGGTGGGGAATCTTTCCCCAAATTTTCCCAATAGTTGATTAAATTTGGACTTTTGGAGGTTCTTAACATTTTCATTTTTGCTACAGAAGCTCCACAACTCTGCATAAGGGGCAGGCTGGAATCACAATGGAAATAAGTTGTATTAACTAACAGTGTTAGTATTATGTTTTCATATTTCTTGTCTTATGTTCATGTCGGATCCAGTTTGTGTTTCGTGTTTTGATGTTACTGTGACAGAACTAAATAAAATCATATCTAATCTAATAAAAACAATTAATTACATCCACACATTTTCCTGCTTTCCCGAAAGGCGCATAACCTCTCCATTCATAAACTTGTTTGACAGTCAATTCACAGCATGGGAGGACGCATTAAAAACACCTGTCTGTGTTTAACCAACGGTCCTCTTGAGTGCAGTGATGGCAGGAGAGAGATCTGAACCTGATCCACTTCCTGCTGATATGACATGAAGAGCTTCTGGCGCTGGTCAGAGACACTTTGCCAGTCAGACAAAAAGAGGACTGGCGCTTCAGGATGTGTGTGTGTACAGGAGGGTATTTCGCTGCGTGGACACAGACAACCAGCCATCCGTGGCCTCTCATGCATGCACACACAGACACATCAGCTCTCTCTCTCTCTCTCTGTCACACACACAACCATGTTTTCCCACAGTTGTCCCAACACATACACTGTGTCTCTCTAAGCCCCGCTCTCCTCTGCTCCTTGCCTTAGCTGCTGGTGGCAAAGCCGTGATAATCCTTTGGCCAACACAAAGCTCAGACTGTTGCAGACTACAATCTGAAGGAACACACACACACACACACACACACAGAGTTATCAAACACAATCCGAGAAGCAAACAGGCCTGTGTGCGTATGTGTGTGTGCGCGTGTATGAGGTGGTGGGATCTGAACAGTAACGGGTGGTGGGAGCGTGGGGGCCGGGGCCAGCGGCGCTGTTTTGCATATGTTATTGCAGCAATGGGGAGAGGTTTGCATATGTTACTGGACCCACAGGGGACCAACTCTGCATGCTTTATCATAAAAAAACAGCCTCACAACACAACACAAGACTACTGGGCTCATACCAAAACAAACAGACCCCTGTGGTGTGTGTGTGTGTGTGTGTTTGCAGTATGTACATATTAGGTTAACGGGGAGGGTTAATTAGACAGTTGCGAAATGGCTATAGGTGAACATCTTTTCAAGGAGAATACAAAAAAGGAACTAGAGGACCATTAATCCACTTATTCTCATGTGGGAATTTTAACTGTGCAATTTTCCAAAATTGTAAAGAATTTAATTATAGTGTTTACTCTCACTCATGAACAGGAGCGCGAAAAATCAATCGTTCTTAGGAGAGCGTTTAAGGTGGAGGTGTGCATGTGTGCAGTTAGGGAGGCTATGGAGGAGGGAGAGGAGGTGGTGGTAGAGGAGGAGGAGGAGGAGGAGGAGGGGGTCCTGCAAATAACCAGATGTGATTCCTGCCCCCTTTGTGTCTGCCAGTTCACAAAGACTCAGACCGAAGCCGTAACCCGGCGCCCTGTGAGGACTCACACTCACACACAGTGCAATTCCCAGAGGCTCTTCCTATCTCCTCCCGTCAGTCAGTCAATCAGTCTGAACACAATCAGTAGGACTCCTGATTTTCTCTTTAGAGAGAGAAAATGCTCCTGGAATGTAATGATAATGTGATGCAGGGGTGAACGGCGATGGGTTGCCACCTCTGGAGGAAACACCCCCCCTGCTCTCTCCTTTGGGGCAGCGCCGGGAGGTAATCTGGTCACACTGTGGAAGGCGGAACAGAGGATACAAGCTAATCTATTCAAATCTAGGTCTAAGTTATTTGATTTATATTCTCAGCACTCACTCCTGAGTTCAGAGGCTTTTTAAAAATATATATTGTTGACTGTGTGAGACCGTGTTTATGGAAATATATCACTCACGTTAGTCCCAGCAATTAGACAGAGACAATGCATATGAAAACAAAGAGACAGGGATTTAGATATACCATTACATAGCCTCTTATGCCCTGGTCAGGATGTTAAACTCTAATTTTACATCTCTGCCAACAGATCACACAGAAACACACACTTTCATACACACACACTCACACAACAAAATCGACACCATCCAGCTAAGCGAAATGCCACAAAGACCCGCAAAGCCTGCAAGACCTCTGATAACAGTGTACCGTATGTGTGAGTGAGTGTGCGTGCATTTGTGTGTACATTCCTATGGTTTTGCATGTACATTCAGTAGTGTAAGTAAAAACACCTGTACCAAAGAATACACTCCCAATGAAGTGCACCTGTCTTCCTCAACAACTACAGTGAACTGGATGCATGGTTTGACAAAGATCATCTTTTTGTTTTTTTCTTAAATACTCTTACTTCTTGTTTTTTACCACTGCTACAGTGTGTTACTCTTTTACTAAGTGATGATTTGTTACAGGGCTGAAATTATTTTCAGCATTGATTCATTAAATTAAGGAAATAATCCGCAGATTAATCATTCTATCTATTAAATGTCACGAAAAATAGAAAATAATCACATTTCAGAAGCTGGTATCAGCAAATGTTTTGGATTTTTTGCCTG